TGTTTATGCAGTGTTGTATTCTTTGTCTTGAGGAGAGTGCATATTAGTTTTTTTTTTTAAATAATAAAAACATACATGAAATCTATCAGAGCCACCCAGTCTTCCATAAACCAATCTGCCTACACATCATTTCCAGGTACCATTAGCATTTGAGGTGAAGTTCTGTTATACACTCAGGCTGTAGCTCTGTGAAAGTCAGTGCATCACAGAACTTTGTCTCGAAAGCTTTCTAGCAACTACCCATTTGAAGGGTGGGAGGGAAGAATAGACCTTTTAAATCCTTTGAACATGGCCCTAAACTTATAGGGTCTAGCTCATCATTTAATGTGTTACAAGGTCAAGCTTAATCCATTGTCCAGAAAACCCATTTCTCAGTAGCTGGGAGTTATTTATAAACTTGCCCTTTGCAAAAACTTAAAATGAAATTACATTCTCAGTAATGGCTTCCAGGGCCTTTAAACTGGCTGGTTTTATGGCATGAGGGGAACTCCTGCCTCTCCCCATTTGTGAAAGGTAAGGGCCCCAAACTGAGGTGGAACCAGCTTCAGTCAGGAGGTGGCAGGAGAAGTAAAGAGAAGCTTCTGGCTTTAGCTCTGGCAGAGTGGAGTGTTAAAGCAGTGTTTACACTCTTGTCTAAATTCTCAGCTTTATTTAGTGTGGCCCTTCGTTTGGAAGTTTGAAATGATCAGCTTTTTCTGGAGTACGTTCTTAACCCTTTTAGTGTTGTAATAAAGGCAAATTTGATTTTTTCTCCTTGCTTGCCTTTGCCAGTCTTTGATTCTTCCCAGGAAGAGCCAATGTCTCTAATATTGGGCTTCCTTTGACAGTGTCTTTCAGGAAGCCAGTGGAAAGAGCCAGGAGCAGAACCTAGGAGTCTGTTTCTGTCTTTGCTAGCATGACTGCCTTAGGCACTTACATGCTATTGGCCATAAAGGACATTGTCTAATTCTCCCAGTTGGTTGGTAACCATGAGGGTTTTTCTTTCTTCTGGCATTCTTTCTAGGGATGCCAGACTCTGTGGCAGCAAGAACCAGTTACCTATTCCAGATCAATGCCCACTGTAAATCATTGGGCAGCTCTTTAAGGTTGCCGTGAATATGGGTAGAGAGATACAGAGCCAAAACATTCTGAGGAAAAATAATTTCCTTCTCTGTGAACTGCTTTTCTTCTCTTAAGGAAATTTAATCTGATTGATGTCCCCCTTTTGGTGAATTGAAGACCCAAGTTGCTGAGCCTGCTTTATAGGAAGATCTTTTTTTTTGGCGGAGGGGAGTTAGGAAGACTGCTTCAATTTGTGACTTTTCAGACTCTAGAAGGAGTCCTGGTGTGGCACTGAAGGTAGTGCGCTGAATTGTACAGTCTGTTTGTACTGCAAGGTCAGCAGTTCAAACCCACCAGCTGCTTCTCAGAAACCCTATGTAAGGTCACTATGAGTTGGAACCAACTCAAAGTCACTTAACAACATCATCAGACTCTAGAAGACTTTCCTTTGCTAATCACAGAGTTCTTTAGTTTGAGAAAGGAATTCCTCACATTTTATTTATTCTATAGAGTACTGTTTATAGGAGGGGCATCTCTCTGTCTCTGTTTTAAAAAAAATGTTTTATTGTGAATTCTATGATAGTTTACATGGGAGAACATTAGCTTTACACTCATCCTAACATATATCATTTCATTGCCATGATTACAATCCCCTCCATGCATCATCAAACAACCAAAGGGTACACCATGCAAGCCTGTTCCTCGGTCGTCAGCACACAGCCACTCTCCCTCTCTGGGTCTAAAGTCCCCAACCACTTCATCTCTCCATGTCTATCGTCTCTGCCTCCATCTCTGGAATCACTGTTTCTCCGGGTAGGGTCCTGCACTCCACTCTACTCCCTTGATGGTCCCAGGGACCTCCGCTCCTGGACTGCAAAGCCAAAGTCAACTACTCCCTCCTTTTACACAACGTCTACCTTTACATTTCCAACCCTCACATCAGTCCTGATAGCTGTTATTCACTATTGTACCACAAGAGTCCTATCCCTATCTCCTTCATCAGCCCCGCCCAGACAGATTGGATACTACTCAGTGGAGATTCAACCTTCCTCCACACCCTTTGGATCTAGGCTCCCTCTTGAAACCTCCGAAGCCAGTAACCCTTGCCTTTGGCATCTCTTAAGGAGTATTTATCAGACAATGGTAGTAATACCATCCAAAAATGGCCACACCAGAAAAATCCATCTATTACAGAAGTCTAATTTTAAGAAGTTTTTACTTTAGTCCAAAACTTTATTTTGAAAACAAATATGAGGTAAGTATATGCAAAACATTATTTTAGACACTGGGGATAAATCAGTGAACAAAACACAAAAATTGCTACCCTCAAATTCAAGTGGGGAAGCTTACATTTTTATAACCTTGTTAAAGAGTGGGTTCCCTTCACACCCATCCATAACTTCCCACAAGCTAGAGTTGGTTCTTTACATGGGACATAAACCTGGAGCCCCATAGGAGAGTTTACATTTTCAAAGGCTGCAGTTTCTGGGACCTTGACAATCATTCTTTACTCCTTACCTTTGAGTCTTTGTTGAGACGTGCTTGGTTTCCTAAGTAAGACCAGGAAAGAGAGGTATTAGGACAACAGCCTTGCCTCATAGCATAGGGTATCAATTGTGAGTAATATTGATTAGAAAGGGATGTGAGCTGGAAACTCCTTCCATACACATATTACTGCCTCATCTCTCTTCCCTCTTTCCTCTCCTCTTTAGCTAATTCCCTAGAACTTGTAGGGAGAGGGGAGAGAGAGCATCAGGTTACTGTAGACTTTGCAACATGATATGCTTGCAGTTGTTTGAGTGTAACCAGTGTAATAGTTCCTTCAGGAGAGCAATTGTCCTCAAAAGTTTGGTTCTTAGTATTCAGAGAAATCACCTCTCCTCTTCACTATTCCCAGGCCTCTCAGATTTTATTTATGTATTTATTTTCAGAGAGGTTCTCTCCTTATTGCTTCTTAACTTTCTCAACATTCAGTTTGGTGTTTGCCCTAGAAGTTAAGTGGTAGTGGTTGGGGGTCTCGTGGAGGCATTGGAAGATGTCTTTCTCACTGGACTGCAGTCAGAAGTAGTGTGTGTGTGCCTGCATGCACGCACGCATTTCCCTCTGCTCCGTGTAGGGGTGGTTTAGGGAAGGCTTGTTTTATGCCTCTGCATTGCTGCTGCATCAGGACTGCAGAAACTTCCAAGTACACTAGGGCATTCAATCCTATTTTCAAATGGCCTTGTGCAGTGCCTCTTAATTAACTGGTCACATTTCCTACCCACTTGTGCATGGGACCCCAGGGAGGGAGGATAATTTGGAAAATACTGTGATATAACATTTCGAACTAATAATGTGACCCACCTTGATTAAGCCCTGTTTAACTCTGGCTCAGAGAAACTGTTTTTCTGGTGCTGCTTTGGAGACCTTGGTTCAGGTGCCCCCTTCCTCACTTGGTCATACTCAGTGGGCAATGCTAAATCTCACCTGGTTGGGGCAGGGAACATACAGAATCCCCACTGTATATACCCTTGTCCCTGTGGGCCTGCGGGGGAGGTATCCAGTTTTCCACTGATGGTGGGAGCTTTCAGGACTGAAGGTGTGTTCATATCTCTTCAGGAACCCTCCCTGTATACTGTCAAAGCCATCCTGATTCTGGATAATGATGGAGATCGACTTTTTGCCAAGGTGAGATTCCCTTTCAAGTTACTTTGGGAGCAGGATTTGAATCAGCTCAAGATTTGAATCTTTTGATTGCCCCTGTTAATTCGTATTCCTTTATACTGTAATTCCGAAAATTCTTCCATCTTTCCTTGATCAGTCTAGATAAAATGTGAGCTGCTTCTGTATCTTTGTTACCTGCTTTCCTACTTGCTGTCTTCAGACTTTGGCCTTCTGTGTTATCTGTATGAGAGTAGGCAAAAGCTTCAGAGTTTTGGTTCCTGAACGAAGTAGTGTTTAAACATGAGAAGCAGCCTTTCCATACCCATCATGCCTGTCACCTTCCCTTTGACCTTATCACTCTGCCTGGGTTTTCCCAGAAAATCCAAGGTTCCATTCCTGGGTTTACAGTTACATCAAGTTTGTTGTCTCTTAACTTACCCAGTGTAATATTTCCAAATTTGGGTCTATTGAAAAAGAGAAAGGACACCCTTCTCTTCTCCCTCTGTATTCTCCCCCTCCTGTAGAAATTTCTTCTGTCCCTGGTGTATTAAGTCTGGGCGAGCATAGCATAAATCAATCAGCAGGTGGAGATTAGTTTAGAATTCACCAGCTGTTCCTCACTGTAATTGGATGTAACTATGCAGGACACCTTTTGAAACAGTTATCCAGTTACTAAATGCCAGACCTGTCATAGGTCTTCAGCTGACTGCGACGGATTAGCCCCTAAAGAGCAGAACGATTTAGCAGCCTGCATCTCCTCCCCCTTGTCACGGAGAGCTTGGGAGTGGGTTTAGCAATGTACTAGATTACCTCCTGCTTCGTTCAGTTTGCAGAAAGGAAAGATAAGATATGAGAGCTCAGGGCAGGGTTTTGTAGCCTTTCTCCATTTCTCAGTTTCATAGTAAGTCAGAGTCTAAAAGAAGCATCCTTCACTCTTGGTGCCTTTTGTATTCCCTGGCACTGCTCCCTGACTCGGGGTAGCTCCTAGGAATCACTTGTTGTTGAGAATGGCCTCAGGAGAGCTTTCCTAGAATGCAGATGGGAGCAAAGCCTCTATCGGAGGACTCAGGGTCTTTTGCCCTGACACAGTCTTAGGAATGTTAAGAGAGGGATCTTTCTTTTTTCTTCTTTTTGTTGGATTACTCACCACTGCCCATTCCCTGCCTCTACAGTCCTTTCTTCTCCCATGTTCATATTTATCATCCACTCCTTGCCTTGAAGGAGAGAAATCCAAGGTCCCACATCAAAACTTAGTCACTGACCATTCTGGACTCCCAGCTCTAATGACCCAATTTGTCTCCTTTCCCTCTGACCAGTACTATGACGACACCTACCCCAGTGTCAAGGAGCAAAAGGCCTTTGAGAAGAACATTTTCAACAAGACTCATCGGACTGACAGTAGGTCATTTTCCTTTCACCACTCCCTATGTTGGGGGAACCATGGTGGGAAGGGGGTGGCGACAAGACTACAAGGAAAGGGTAAAATGACTCTGCCTTCTTTTTTTCCTCCTCCCCTCATATAATAAACTCTTCAGAAATGTAATGGGGAGTTGAGTGTACCTCACGCGGGAATACCGTGCTGGAAGGTTGGCTGTTAGCTACCTGTCTAGTCCCTGGATTTATGAGCCTCACTTGACAAATTTAACTGCAGCTCTGCTTATTGTACCGCATCCATTAGGGCAGGTAAATGGAAGTCTGTAAAGGTGACCGCTCTGCATTTTCACCTCCGAAAGATCGACTAGTATCCTGTCTCATACACAAGGAGGGAAATGAGGGATAGTGGGGGGAGTAGAGGAGAAGACACATTTAGACTCCCCCAAGTTTGTGTTTCTCTTTTGCTCCCTCCAGAACACAAAAAGTAGCCCCACTTTGGATTTTTGGGTCATTATGACCTGTGTTCCCTTAGCCCCAAACAGCTGGATACCAGGCGCTTACAGGAACTCCTGTCCTACCTCCTTATCTCAGACCATCTACTGTTTCCACCTTTTTCTCCAGGTGAAATTGCCCTCTTGGAAGGCCTAACAGTGGTATACAAAAGCAGTATTGACCTCTATTTCTATGTGATTGGCAGCTCCTATGAAAATGAGGTGAGCATACCACCTTCTCTGATTCCACTTCATAAACCTCAGGCACTGGGCCCCAGGAGTACTTTGTCCCTCTGACTTCTGATTGATGAAAGGAAAGTTGTCAGAGATCCCTGTTAACTTCACAAACATGGCCCAGCAAAGGAAGTAGCCTAGAATTGAACCTTTCTTAGATTTATATGTTAACCCTTGAGTAGGAGATACCATATATATATGTTGTTGTTAGGTACCACTGAGTCAGTTCCAACTCATAGTGACCCTGTGCAGAACAGAATGAAACACTGCCTGGTCCTGTACCATCCTCACAATTACGTGTGAGCCGGTGTTGCTGCCACTGTCTCGGTCATTCATGTTGGGGCTCTTCTTCTCTTTTGCTGATCCTCTACTTTTCCAGTCATGATGTTCTTCTCCAAAGACTGATCCCTCCTGATAATGCATCCAAAGTATGAAAGGTGAAATCTCATCATCCTGGAATCTAAAGAGCATTCTAGCTGTATTTCTCCCAAGACAGATTTGTTTGTTCTTCTGGCTGTATATGGCATGCTAACATATGATATCCATATCTCTACCTGGTGGTGGTAGTGGTTGTATGCCATTGAGTCAGTTCTGACTCCTAGTGACCCTGTATCCCGTTTCCGAATCTGTAAATGTTTACAGGAGCAGGAAGGCTCAACTTTCTCCTGAGGAGTAACTGGCAGATTTGAACTGCTGACTTTGTGGTTAGCAGCCTAGCTCATAACCCACTATGCTACCAGAGCTGCCTAGAAATAATGTCTTTAAAGATGGACTTTGAAGGTTGTGGTCAAGGTTGTGGAGATGCCTACTCTTGCTATAAAGGGTCCACTCCTGACCAGTCTTGAGCCAGCTAGCCAACATTCTGGGCTATGTTGAAGCAACACATTCTGAATGGATCACTTGGGGAGGCTATGGATATAGTTCTTCCTACTTCCTAATATGATTGAAAAGCTTCAGGTAGCAACTTCTGGGGGAGCTGTTATGTGCTGTGGAGTTGGTTCCGACTTACTGCGACCCTGTACAGGGTTTCCTTTACGGGAACAGAAAGCCTCATCTTTCTCCCACAGAACAGCTGGTAGTTTCAAACTGCTGACTTTGCGATTCGCAGCCCGATTCATAACCACTATGCTACCAGAGCTCCTTTCTTGGGAGAGTGGTTAAGTGAAAATAGCATTCCTACCCCCAAGTAAAAGGAGTTGTAGCGTAGTGGTTGTGAGTTGGGCTGCTAATCTCCAGGTTAGCAATTTATGGGAGAAAGATGGGGCTTTCTGCTCCTGGAAAGATTTATAGCCTTGGAAACTCTATCATGGTCACTATGAGTCGTAACCAACTCCACAGCACACCACCACCACCGCCACCCCCCGAATAATTTGAAGCAAAAGTAAAGGTTTGAGGGAACCAATTCGTAGCGAGTTCTTGTTGATTATTGCTATAAGAACATTATAATAAATTTTGATTTAAACCTTGCAGCATTTCTTTGAGAGTCCTGGTGTGGCACTGTAGGGTAAGCACTGGACTGCTAACCACACGGCTGATGGTCCAAACCCACCAGCTGCTCCTTAGAAACCCTATACAGGGTCGCTGTGTGTCAGAACCAATTCCATGGCACTTACCAACAGCAACCTGTGTTTTACAGATAAAGAAGCTGAACTATGAGGAACCATGTCAAATTAATTGTATTTGACCATTGTTGAACTATAAAAGGGGTGATTTCGTGTGGTTCAACTGAATAACTTTCCCAAGGTTACACATCTAGAGAATGGTTGTTGGGACTCGAACCCAGATCTATCTAGCTCCAGAGCTCATGCTCTCTACTTACTTTGCTGCCTTCCTCTGGCCTCTGCTTATTGCTTGATTAATGATCAATGACTTCTCTACCTAAGACGTTATGTGACACATAAGGAGTTTGTAAAGATACAAAGGGAACTGTGACATGACAGTTCTGTTGGAACATTCTGGCAAATAGAGACATCACCTTTTGATATTCTGTAGTATAATTTCTATGAGAAACCACACTTCCATGTTATGCTTTGGTTCTTTGTGAAAGCCTGTGCCTTTTGATGCTTAATGGATTAAAAGGTTTTGCTTTTTGGTACTTTCTTCCAGGGCCTTGAACCTTATCCTTTTGCTTCTTGTGTCTCCCAACAGCTAATGCTCATGGCCGTTCTGAACTGCCTCTTCGACTCATTGAGCCAGATGCTGAGGTGAGCACTCCATTCTTGATGTTGTTTTAGAAGACAGAGTAATAGGACTTAAGGATTTATGGAGGATCAGCAGAGGCATCAGGGATATAATTTAGTTTAAAAAGTTGGACTTCTTATCCGAATTATTCATCCTGACAGGAAGTTAGGTGGGAAGCATATCCTTCCATGGAATACATCTCCTGTTAGGGAAGGTGACTAGGACGGAGTAGAATCTTCATTTCCATGGTTACTCTTCTATTCCTTAGAGGCTCTGTCAGAGTTCTAAGAAGAACCTGCTTTCTCAGGTTTCATTTTTTGTACATTCTTGTTGTTGTTAAGTGCTGTTGAGTTGATTCTGACTCATAACGACCCTGTATGGGATTTCTGAGGAACGATTGGTGGGTTTGAGCTGCTGGCCTTGTAGTTAGCTGTCCAGTGCTTATTCTGGAGTGCCACACCAGGACTTTACATTAGACTTATGGAAATGCAAACATAGTCACATGTCCTAGGTGAAACATCAGTCCCTGGGAATGGAGGAAACACTCTCAACTTTTTACTTCTAGTCCTTAATTTTTTTCTTCTGTAGAACAGGACCCTCTCTTCCTCTTCTATCTCCAACCAGTCCTTTGGTCCTCATGTACATGGACAGTAGAAGAGATATAAGATACTTTTCTTAAAAACATCCACAATCTTTATTTCCGTAGCAGTTCCCAAGTGAGCCCAGTACAGACAGCCATCCGGAGCCAAGTAGCAGGCATGCTCAGCCCCACAAAATCAGCACAGAGCAAATGACTCAGATTTCCTCAGGAAAGGGATGATTTATATCTTAGACAGGTGAATGAATAGACTGCGTTTCGGGTGATCTAGTGAAGGAGTAAAATTGACGGATGTGACTGACCACATGCACTAACCTCTGGTTGATGAAGGCCCTGACTATTCCTGGCCACCTGGTTGGGCTGCTTGTCAGGGACCAAGCAGAGTTGTTCAGGGAAAGCATTTAGGAGTAATAAACTAAATGGACTTAGGTTTGTCAGTGCTTGATGCAGAGTTTGTCTGTAAGCACTCGCTTACCTGTCCCTGTCCCGACTTCCAGATTGAGTTTTATGTACTTTTCCCTTTTCCACCCAGTGATGTCAGTGTTTATGATCAGTATCAGGTGCAGCACCCTGACAGGCAGGAAAGAAATACTAGATATGGGTGATCGACTCCTGGAGAGTTAGAAATTGGCTGTATTTTTAAATGATTCCTCATCCTTACTCAGCAAATATAAGTAAGACGTGATTTAGAGTGGGTTTAGGAAAAAGTTGTCCTTCACCTTACTCCTTTGTCTGTCTGTCTGGTTGGTGGAGACGTTGGTTTAGTTTGGGACCCCAAACTCTGGCAGTGGTCTAGAATTTTTTTACACACAGGCTGTGTTCTTTCTTCCCTTGCTGGTGGGGTCAGGAAAAACGTAGAAAAACGAGCATTGCTGGAGAACATGGAGGGGCTCTTCCTGGCTGTGGATGAAATAGTGGACGGAGGGTGAGTTCTGTACCCTAGGTCTGAGGTAAGGTGGTGGGGCAGCTGCCCCTGTCCTAACACAAGTGGGCTTAGTGACCAGAGGTCCTCCAGTAAGTTGATTGTTCAGGACAGAGGGAACAGTAGTCTTTTCTTTGTCTTTGTAGGGTGATCCTAGAGAGTGATCCTCAGCAAGTGGTACACCGGGTGGCATTAAGGGTAAGTAGGAGTGTGTCCTCCTGAATTCTTTTCATCTGTTCATAAACACTCTCCAGGGCCAGACCTGCTGAATGCTTTCTTCCTTAAATGCATCTAAGGGTCAGGGCTCATAGAATACAACCTTCTTCCTCCCTTCAGATTTTCATTATACCAAAGAAGGGACTCAAAAGGAACTTATTCCTGCACTTGATGCGATGCCTAACATCTCATATACAGTCTTTACACAAACTGGACATTTAATACATATTTATTGAATGAATTAATTAAATGAGAAGGAACTTGAGGTGGGTTTATTCTTCATTTGGGGATAGATCCCAAATATCTGAGGGAGATGAGTGTTTTCTTTTAAAGTTTTAGGTAACTGAAAAAAAGCACCTTTCAGTCAGATAGTACTTATTTTTTAACATCTTAGTCCTTTCTGATAATAGTAATATCAGAGTCTGAGTTAGCCATAGAAGGCGCCAAGTGTAGTCTGTTGGGGGTGATAGTGGCTGCAGAGAGAGCTCACCTGAAATTCTGGGGGGTGTAGAGATGTTTGAGCAAAGCAGATCTCCCCATTCATAGAAATGTCCCAGCTCTGACCTCCACAGAGTGAAGGCTAACAGTGCGGGCTAATGGGAAATCTTCTCCCTTAACTGCTGTGGACTCCATTTGCATAGTTTAATCTTCTCCTCTAACATATGTCTCTATGTGGCAAGAGAGAGGGTCCCCCCCACTTGCCCCCCTTCCCTTTCTCAGGCTGCTGTTGCAGCAGTTTATTTCTTCAAATTAACATGCTGTCGTTACCCATCAGGCCTTGCAGGATCCATTAAACTACCCCTGGCTCCCCCTCATGCTTTCCCTAGCCATATTGATATTCAGGGAAGGTTTTTCCTGACTAGGGAATTAGGCCCCCACCCCCAAGTTTAGGGAGTTGAGGATCAAATAACCTGCTAATTACTTGGAATCCAATATATCTTTTAAACCCTCCTGTTTTAAAATAAAGGGATAGATGAACTGACCTTTTTTTGCTCACAGAGCCTCTGGCCAGATGAAATTTTGACTGTGTTAGGATGATTCTTTCCCAGAAAGGACTGAAAAGTTTAGTTCCTCTGGCCTGTGCTTCAGTGTAAAAGACCTCCTCTTCCTTCTCCACTACCAAACTCCAAACAGGTCTTACTGTAGCTTTCCCTCTGCTGAGTGCCTGTCTTTGTGTACTGTAGGGTGAAGATGTCCCCCTTACGGAGCAGACAGTGTCTCAGGTATGGCTTTCTCCCCTCTCCCGGGTCTAAAGAGGGTAGAATAGTATTCCTCCCCAACCTGCTAAATCCTAATGCACTAGAGCCTGAAGACCTCTTCCTAGGCGCCTTCTTATTCCAGAGAACAGAGTCAACCGCTTCCTACCCCCACCCCCAACTCCTAGTTTCCTGTGAGCAGTGGCTGTCAGCCTAGCTGTTTACCCTTCAAACCCTCCCTGCCTGCTGCCTCATTCAGTGATTTATTCCCCAGCAGAGGCTTGCTTTAAGCAGATGGTCTGTGTGCACACACACTCTCCTCTTGCTTTCTCTTATTATTCAAATGAGGGCCAAGCTGGAAATGCATATTCCAGAATATGCAGGCTTTGCAGTGCTACCACCTTGACTGCAGATAGATTATCTACCTGATTGGGGGCTGGGCAAGGGAAGGGTTCTGTTTTATTTCCCCAATGAATTTGAATTGTTTGGGAATTTCTTGAACTCTGACAATCTTCAAGAGCCATTAAGAGTTTCTTCTCATCCCTCTACCCTTGGGGATTTTCTGCCCCCCATTTTCTAAAGAACAGGAAAGGCAGGTAATGGGAAGGAGACCCCTCTAGTCCCCATTCCCACCTTTCCCCCCAGCCAGCCTGGCCCAAAGCTACCTTTGTCTCTGCAGGTGCTGCAGTCGGCCAAAGAACAGATCAAGTGGTCCCTGCTTCGGTGAAGACCCCACTGTTCTGGCTCCTCCCTCCCTTCAAACATCGCATGTCTACTGTGACTTCTTACCTAGTCCCCTAATTGATACGCTCAGGGTCATCTTGGGGATCACAGGGATCCTTAAATTTCCATCCTATCTGTGGTTGGACCCCCCCATTACACACACATTTCCTGTTTTGTCTCACTATTCTTGCCGTTCTTAGAGTAAAGCTCCCACCAGATTTAGACCCAGGACAGGGTATACCCTCGTCCTTTCTAGACTGGATTGTGCTCCCATGCTGCCCTATCCCCCATATTTCCTCCTAAATTTCTGTGCTCTTTGCTGCAACTACACTTCAGATCAAAGCAGAAGAAAGAATGTGCTGAGTGTTTTCCTCCCTTTGTGAGGCCTTCATCCCAACAGCCATATGTCCAGTAAGGGGAGGGAGAGAGAATTCTTTTCTGTAGAACTAGTGAAAAAACGGGGTATCCAGTCTCAGCCCCAGCTCCAGCCCCACTCAGTGGCCTCAGCATTTTCTCCCATTCCTTCTTATTGCTCTGCCCTTCAGCCTTGGAAAAGAGACTGAGAACAGTTCACAGGGAGGGGACAGAGCAGAAGAAACAGTGATTTAAATTGTATTGGATAGAGCTTATAAAATGCTGCGTTTCAGTCACAGCTGCATTCACTACCCTGATTCTGGCTTATAACTTCAAAACTGCTGTGGTTTGTGATTGTTCATTGTGGGAGTGTCCATCTCTTGGTCCACTACCTTAACTGTCTACCTTTACTACCCGTGGGATCTTTTCCTGGCCTGTCCTCATGGTGCCCTGGAGCAAAGCCAGTCCCTGGAACTGAAACTCCATTCTAGTCTTGGGAAGAGGACTTTCTGCTCTGAACTGGGGAGGGGATGGAATTTATGACTTGGGCCTCTGGGCTCTCTTAAGTCCCCTAGGCTCCCCCACATGCTTTTCACTCCCTGCCTTGGGTCTGCAGTCTTTGCTGCTTAACCCTATCCTCTCTCTACCTCTGCTTCCATTTCACATCCAAGCAGTATGTCTGGGCGCTTCTCCTGCCTGGGTTGTTAAGAGAGGTGTTTTTTTGTATTGTTGTTTTTTTCTTCATAAAACCATTGGGATTTGGGTTTCCCTAGGAAGATGAAGGATGGGACACCCACCCTTGGGTCTTATGTTTCCCATGGTTTCAAAACTTTCTCCTCACAAAAATATCTCAGAAAATCTGAGACTTAAGGGGTCTCTCCTACTCATGAACTGCCAGTTCTCCAAGACTGAAGTGGGCAGATAACTGGACATATTTGAGGGGGGCATTTTAGTGTAAGAGATGTATGGAGTCAGGAGATCGCCACCTTCATACACTACTCTGTGTAAAGAATAATAAAACAGATTTCTTTTTCCAAACTGCCTTTGTTTGATATTTCTGTTCCTCTCTTTTTGGCAGCTGCTCCCATTCTTCCAGCCCCCTTCACTCCCCATCTTACAATATTTCTTCCCTTTTACCTCAGAGACTCCCTCAGCATCCTCCCCCCCATCCCTAATTTACGGGACTGTTTGCCTCCTTGGCATCTCTCAGTCCCCTCGCCTGGAAATTGGCGCCAGGGGTAGGGTGGGGATGGTATTTTCTCAGTGGGAGTCCCAGGGAACTGAGTTCTCCCCCCACCACCCCAAAAGCCAGCTGCCTGCTCTTGCCTCAGCCATTAGTAACCCTGAGACGCACACCTGCGTGGGGGCTCTCCTCCAGCCCCGGCTCCCTTCCTGCATCTCCCACTCCTGCTCTGAAATGGCGCTGAGCGGGTTATTTATCTGAGCCTGCGCTGCTCTAGAAGGTCAGGACGGTGGTGTAAATAACCTCTTCTCACCATTTCCCCATCCCTCCAGAGCCTGCTCCCCTCCCCCTCTTCCACCTTTATTCGCACAAATGAATGTGGCTGGGCTGGCGCAGAGCCTGGCCCTGCATCTTAATGGGGCGGTGAGCTCACAAGATGGATTTAGCTGGGGGTTTTATGGTTGCCGCGGCGACTGGAGAATGCTTTGGTTTTCTTTCCCCCTTCCTCTGCAGGATTTTAAGGAGGTGGGCAGTGTGGGAAGCCCTCCTCTCCAATGCGATTTAAAGGCTCTCATTCTCAGTCACCTCTACTGCCCATAAGATGAACCTACCGTTTCATAATTAAGCAAGAGACTGAATTAGGACCTCAGATAGGGAAGAAGGAGGCAAGGAAGGTAATGAGCTTGGTGAACGTCTCTTAACATCAGAACAGGAAATAGTTGTCCAATCTTGCCTATCTTTTCTGTAAGAATCTGGCAGTGAAGCTCAGCAACCTGTGACTGGGATCCCCCTCATCAGACATGAGAAAGAAAAAAAACAAAACAAAAAAAACCTGCTTGGATATATCATCCTATAGTCCTGCGTTAAAAGTTGGAATACAGGAGGCTGGATTCTGAGTTGGGAACAAGCGGTGTCATGTCCAGCTTTACCATTCTAGCCTGGCTCCTCAGCACTCAGCACTGATCAGTGATAGTGCTGAGGGTGGAGTTCTTTGTAATCCCTGAGTTTAGAATTCTCTGAGCTTCAGTTTCCTGACCTGGCCTGGTTTGAACTTCCCCTGCCCTCTTTTTCTAGTATCCTGACCTACCTACCTGGAATTTTCTTTCAAGCTATGCACAAACCCATCTCAACTCCCGACTGGAAGAGAGACTGGAAGCAGGATCTAATGATCTCCCTCCCTCCCTTGGCCAGTGTCTGCTGGCTTCTGGGCCTCTTGTCTTTTTTCTGATGTGAGCCTTTCTCTCTTCCCCAGAGGACCCTGAGCGGCTCCTCCTCCCCTCTCCCCCGTTTCCTCCCCTTTGGCTGGGAAAGTGACTGCAGCCTGAACAGTGCCAGACACCTGCCTGCCAGATGTGGCGATTCCCCATTCCTCTACCCCCCTCCAAGTGTCTATCCTTTCCTCACCCCACTGAGCTCAGGCAGAGGGACACCCCCCCACAGGGTGATTTAATGCTACAGCCTCTCTGCCTCCAGTGCCTCCCTTTAGCTCCTCTTCCTCCCTCTGGTGCCCAGGCCCTGCAGCCACCTCCCCTAACCACTCCCAGGATGCTGAAGTGGGTAAGCCCCAGTTCCTGGACAGGGCAGTGACTGGGTGGGGCAGGGGTGATTGACCTCTGTCGTACTCATGGGAGAGTACATCAGCAGGGCTGAGGATAGTGGCAGCCAGAGCTGATGTCATTCTAACAGGGAGGAGAGGCGGTGGTAGAAAAGAAAGGGGGATGAATGGGGAAGGAGCCAGCAGGCCAAGACTGCAGACATGAGAAGAGGTCTCTGAGACCTTTCCAGGTAGGGAAGAAAGACCAGAAATGTGTCTGCGTGGTGGTAGACATTCCATCTGCATTTTTCTGACCAGATCTCCACACTTTGTGTGTCTCAACAGGTCCTTTCAGACTGACCCAAAACACATACTGAAAGGGAGACCTAACCCTTAACCGTTCTCTCTTTAGTGTTCATCCTTCTGTGTCTTGTCTCCTCCCTTAGTTGTACTTCTCTCTCTGGTATCTGCTGCAAGTCTTCCTGCCCACCCACTTCCAGGCCATACCAGAACTCAGTATGATCCCAGGCCACCTACCAAAGCAGTCTCTTTGCTTCTTCCCATCTTTCATGGCAACCTAATGCCCTGAGGTTCCCTGTGGGTCAGAGCAGAGGTCTCTAGTGGGAGGGAACAGGAAGAATGGCTTGGCCATTCCATGGGAGTAACAGAGACAGGACAGATGGAGAGTCCTAGGAAGTGGTAGGTTGGGGAAGAGGAACAGGAAGACAGAGAAACACAAAGAGAAAAAAGTAAACAGACAGAAAGATGGACTGAGAGCAGAAAATGAGAATGACACATGAGAGTGAGAAACTAACACAAAGAATAAGGCTGATAGCAGAGAAAAAGAAGGGAGAGATGAAGACAGGAAAGTCATAGCAAGAGAAAGCCGCTGGGGAGCAGCCAGGCCAAGGGCAGTCTGGCTCGGCTCGCCAGGGCTCTGACTCACTGGTGCTGATGGGCCATAAATTCTGTTAGTGTGTGCAGGGCCACGAGTGTGTAGGGGTCTGTGGTGGGATTAGGGATGACTCCCGCCACATTCACATTCTCCCATTTCCTTCAGCAGTCTCCTTCCTTGAAGACCCAGACCAACCTTTCATATCCCAACATTCCTGATGCTTCAGGGGCCATTCCGAAGGTGTTTTCCACATCTCAGGAATCCTGGCTTTTTGGTTTAGAATGCTGGTCTGCTGGAATGTATGTGCAGCCAGGATCTGTGCAGTCAAGAGGCCCATTCCCTCACTGCCCACCCCCAATGCCTGCCCACCAGCTGCTCCTGTCCATCTACTCCCACTCTCCTTGTATCTCCCCCTCCTCCACACTGACCCTTTCCCCAGCCTCTGACCCCCAGCCTGCCTGGGGCCCAGGTCTGGAAAGGGAGACAAAGACAGGATTTATAGCTGGTATAGAGAAGTGACCAGAGCCGAGAGCTGAGGGCAATGGCTGACCTCTCACTAGACTGGGAGGGATCTCTGGACCGGATGTCGGGAGTCTGGAAGGCTAGAAGCCTGGGTTCCAGCATCTGCTCACAAACCTCAACTTTTCCCACTCTAGCCTTGCTCTCTCCCTTGTCCTTGAAGACCTAGGAAACAGAAAAGAAGATGATCCTGAGGTGATTTGAAGCGCTTCTGAAGGGAAGCCTCCGGATAGATGAGATTGATGTCTTACAGAACCTGAGGAGGATTCAGGAACCACGGTACACTCAGACACCAGTTGTTTCCAGGACTAGGAAGATCAGGTCTAGCACTGCAACAGATGAGCTGGAAGGGGATTCGCCTTGTAGAGAACAACTTCCCAAAAAAACGGTTCTGCCGATAGAGTTCCAACTCACAGTGATCCTGTATAGGGTTTCTGAGGAGCGGCTGTGGTTTTGAGCTGTCGACCTTGCAGTTAGCAGTCCAGTCCTACAGTACTACACCAGGACTCCAGGGTCATGATTCTACATCATGAAAGATGGGAGATCATTTCACCTAAAAGTGAAGGAAGAAATGGAACTCCTCAGAGGTTATTAGCTCCAGGTGTTCAGGCACTGATTGTTTCCAGGACTAGGATGGGGTCACTGCTACAGATGAGCTGGAGAGGGACTTCCCAAAAACTGGCTCGGAGGGCAGTAGGGAGGAAAATAAGGATGGTTCTGGATTCTGAAAGAGGAGACAGCCCCATTATGACAACCTTCCTCCCTGAGCACCCCAACTCCCTCCTGAAGGTGTGAGGGAGCAGCAGGGGGCCCTGCTTTTATAGTAAATAGACTGTTGACCTGAACTTGTCTCTACTGAGCAGAGAGGGTTTGTGCTCAAGGAGAGGGAACAGTA